GTGATGACGTCATGCTCGAAATAAAAAGACGAGAACGTTGAGATTTCTTGTTGAAGATACGCTTGACAAATTGAAGCCTGAACGTGTGCCTTGTTGGTCATTTTCTTTTTCAACTCTCCTAGAAATCTGCAATGTAAAATAAAAGTGGTACACAGATTACAGTTTGTATGAAATATATATTCATTTTTTAAATGAAATTGTGACTAACCTTTCAAATCTGTACATCCAGCGATAGAAGACGGGCCCAGCGGTCAAAGCCTCATACGGAAGATGTATTATAAGATGTTCCATTGCATCGAAAAACGATGGAGGCATTATCTTTTCCAGATTGCACATCAGAATGGGAACAGACTCTTGTAGTCTCCGGAGGGATGCAGCATCCAAAACGCTGGAACATATCGACTGAAACAACAAACTGATTTCAGTAATGCAGGACCATACGTGTTCAGGGAGCTTCTCTTTCAGTGCAATTGGTAGAAGTCTTTGCATGATTACATGAGCATCGTGAGTTTTCATGCTCGCTGTCGTGGTAAGTTTGTTCATGTCCACGCATCTAGACAAGTTGGAGCAGTAGCCATCTGGAAACTTCAGAGACACAAGCCATTGTAATATTGCTTCCTTTTGTGCTTCTGTGACCTGGTAGACTGCTTTTGGAACTTCCTTGCCCTGATATTCCAGATCAACAGAAAGTTTGGGTCTATCACACCAAATAGTCATATCTTTCCTAGCTGCAAGACCGTCTTTATTTTTGCCTTTGAAATCCATCATCGTGTTAAATATATTGTCAAACACGTTCTTCTTAGTGTGCATGACATCTAAATTGTGACGAATTAGAAGGTCTTCCAATATGGCAACTCCCAGAATATACTCCTCTTTGTCCACTTATGGGTAACACAATACCCATATGGCTCCTGATTTGGCTCTTCCATAGCCGTAGGAATACGTCGAACCCGGTTAAAAATTTCTTCGCCAGTCAATCTCGGGGGTGGGCTCTCTCGTACCACTCTGTCTTTAATGAAAGACTTGTTGTCCTTTCGATATCGGTGCCTTTCCGGGAGAAACTTGCGGTGACAATCAAAGTAACTTCCTTTTTTACTGTAACTGAGCCAATTGGCACCTGATTTATCCATGCATATCGGACATCCCATCAGACCGTGTGTGCTCCATCCCGAAAGCATGCCATATGCAGGGAAGTCGCTAATGGTCCAAACGATGACAGCTTTCATGATAAACATTTGATCTGATGAAACATCATAAGTTGGTGTCCCAACGGCCCACAGTTCTTTCATCTCCTCGATAAGGGGTTGGAGATAAATGTCTATCTTTCGCCCAGGATCCTTGGAACCCGGACAAATTAAAGACAAAAAGATGAAATGACTTTTCATGCACATGTCAGGTGGGATATTGTAAGGAGTTAACATGACCGGCCAACATGAATAGTTCTTCCCAAACCTGCCAAAAGGAGCAAATCCGTCTGAGCACAATCCCAGCCGCACATTTCGTGGCTCCACAGCAAACTGAGGATGACAACGGTTAAAGTGTCTCCAGGCTTCACAGTCCGAAGGGTGAGCCATCATACCCTCATTGGTTTCGTGCTCAACATGCCATGTCATGTGTTTCGCAGTAGCAGTCGAAGCGTACATCCTCTGCAGTCGAGGAGCTATTGGGAGGTAATATAGTTTAGACAGTGCCGACCTATATCGTGGTTTCTTTTTTACTTTGAGGAACAGGTTTGTATCTGTCTCCACCACAGAACTTGCAGAACTCAAGTGCCTCATCCTCCTTCCAGAACAACATACATCCTTTCGGGCACGCATCAATTTCGACACAAGGTAGCCCCAACTTAGACATTAACTGCTTCATGCGGTAATATGAATCAGGAAGGGTATGATCACGCGGTAGCATCCCTCCTACTGACTGCAAGACTCTATTCATGCAAGTTTCAGGGAGACTGTATTCGGCTTTTATGTTCATAAACTCTGTAACGGCGGATAGCTGAGTGTATCCCTCACAATCAGCATACAGAGCTGAGGTTGGTCGGCAGCTTTTAAAACATCCTGAAATCTCTCAGCCAAACCTTCATCCACATAAGGTTGATAAAATGACGGATTTTCATCCGCATCTGGTTGATACGAGGTCGAGGCTTCAGGGGGGTTGTTAGATGGTTGTGGGGGGTTGAACTGAGACATCGGTACACCGTATGCGTCATATACCATTTCTTGTTCCCACCTCATTTCAGCACGGTCTCCCCACCCACTCATCTCTGGAGGGACGTAACTAACGAGACGAACCTACCGTTTGTGGTATAACAGATGGATCCAAAGGTTCGTCGTGAGAAGTCCAATTATAATAATTGGGAACAAAACCGACCGCGTACAAATCATACCCAACTTCGTGTGGGTCTTTAAATTTGAGATTTTTACACTTTGAACATAGACATCTTATTTTATCACCACTCATATAAGCCGGATGTTCAAGTGCGAATTCAATAAATTCCCCGACTCCATCGAGAAAATTTGATTGCATTCCGTACCATACTGCATCTTTATCATACATCCAACTTCTATTTTGTTTATACATTATGCCTGAATATTATAATAAAAAATTATACAGGTTCAAAACTAAGGTAATTAATGTAACAATAATACTACGTTTAACTAATTTTAAGTAATTTATTTCACTAAATAATCAACTAACTAAGCTGGAAGGTGGTTGAGCCGCTGAGGTGGTACGTGGTTGAAGCTTGTGTATTATTTATTTATTTATTTAGAAAAAAATTACGTTTTATTATTACTATTTACAAAATCATATTAAGAATGACAAGGGAAAAGTAGAATTGGAAAAGTTAATCCTATTTTGGTGATTTAAACTTGTATTATTACAATTTTATTTTTATTTAAACTATTTAAAGAAATCTCTCATCAAATAATATTACGGAGTATCTTTCAATGTTTTGTAAGGTAAATCATTTAGAACTCCCAAAAATGGTTGTAGGATCTGTCATTGACCGCCAAAGAAGGTTAGACCAAAATCCTGTGTTTCTTGGTGGGAGTTTCAAGAAGCTCAGGTCCGAACGTTCGGACAGGAGCCTCCGTCCGAACACCGCCGTTTGGGACGTTTTTCGGTGGAATTTTTTGATGAAATTTTTTGAGCATGTTCCTCATCAAGTCTAGTTTATTCTCAAAAACTTTCAGTTTAAAATTCGATCGGGAAGGTTTTCAAATAATTTTTTGAAGTTGAGTGTGTTTTTTGTATATAATTTTGCGCAGTTAAATTCAAAAAATTATTTGAAGGCCTTCCCGACCGCCTTAAACGGCGGTGTTCGGACGGCGGCTCCCGTCCTCCCTGTTGGACCTGAGCACTTCTCTGTTTCAAAACTCCAAATTTCCTCCAAAAGTTGTACATTGTGCCCGGAAAGTCTCTAAAGTGCAAAAGTTGTAGGCGTAGGAAATGATTTCTATTGTATAAAATTACAACTTTAATGCTTGACATAATAATTAATTAGATTATATATGAGTCCAAATTTGCAATTTCAAGCTGTAAATCCTGTAATTAAGCGTGCAATATATGTAGTCGTTTAATGTATGTACAAGTAAATACGTCAAAATTAAGCGTGTAACGTTGTCATTTAATGGATGTAAGCAGTTACGTCAATACTACGTACATATGTATAGGGTTAAAATATGTTTTTAGTCCCTGCAAATATAGTACATTTTGTTTTACATCCCTGCAAGATTATTTTTTTTGTATTTCGTCCCTGCAATTTAGGTTAGTTTTCTTTTTAGTCTATCACTAATGATAACGATCTCCGTTTGACCTCAAAATAACCCCAATTAATACATCTCCTCTAATTCTTCTCTAATTCTTTGTCATGTTATTAAAAAAGTATTTAATTTAATTTTTTAGAAGGTTTTTAATATATATTTTAAAAAATGTGAATACTAGTTTTACACCTTTTTAACTCTCATATTAGCCATAAAAAAATTATAAAAGGAAGAATTTAAATATTTCTAGTACATTTATGTAACTGACAATAACTTTTTTTTGTAAGTTGAGTAGTTTCAGAATCAGAGATGGACTAAAAACAAAATAGTCTATATTGCAGGGATAAAAAACAAGAAAAATATTTTGCAGAGACCTAAAACAAATTGTGTCATATTTGCAGGGACTAAAAACGTATTTAAGCCTATAGTGTGGTGTGTACATATCAAATAAAAACTATTGATATTTATTCGTAGCATGAAAACCACAATCATTCACTTTTTCGCTAATGCTGCGCTTTTTAACATTAAGAGAAAACTTTGATTTATTTATCAAAATATCATCGCATCTTTTAATTCGCATGACCAGACCAAATTAAAGTTCAAAAAGTATAAAGAGACAAGCTAGCCTTAAATTAAAGTGCATATAACGGCACAAAAGTGAACACGATTTGCAGTTTTCGCGTTATGAGTTATATTTATTTGACCTTTAGCTACTCGCTCTATATATATACATAGACGAGTAGTCTTTCGGTCAGGTATACCTGACCGGAGCCCCGTCCGGCCTCCTCCATTTGGGGGCTTTCCCGGTGGTATTTTTTGCTCAAATTTTTTGTGTAGGTTCCTCATCAAGTCTAGTTCATCCATACCAAATTTCAGCCAAAAATTCAATCGGGAAGGTCGTCAAATGATTTTTGCAAGTTAACTGGTCCGAAAAATACATATTCCGGACCAGTTAACTTGCAAAAATCATTTGACAACCTTCCCGATTGAATTTTTGGCTGAAATTTGGTATGGATGAACTAGACTTGATGAGGAACCTACACAAAAAATTTGAGCAAAAAATACCACCGGGAAGGCCCCCAAATGGAGGAGGCCGGACGGGGGGGTGGTCCGGCCTGGCCGGACCTGAACATTCGTGTACATAGACGCGCACACACACACACACACACATATATATATATATATATATATATATATATATATATGCGTTTGTGTGTGTTATAATCTCTCCGCATCATAGGAAAGAAATTAAGGGGATTAGTTTTGGTCATCTGCACTCCCTGACCCACCTGGTAGGCTGGTCTCGATCCAAAATGCGTCATCCAAGCCGGTGTGCCACTCTTATAGTCACTATTACTTCTACACTGCTTTATGGCATCGCAGCTTTTTGTGGGTATTTTGCATTAGATGAGGTATTTAAATATACTCGTAGAGTACTTAGCTATTCAGCTTACCTTAGCTCGGATATGGTGTTTTAATTTGTACAATACTCGTATAGTATTATGGAGTACTACCTCCATCCCAAATTCATTTCCAAATTTGACTTTTCTTGGTAAAAAAGTTTCATTTTATTCACTTAATTAGGATGTCAATTTTTAATTATATTTTAATTTGGAGTTTACAACTTTGAAGATATTTTAATGTAGTTTTTTAATATACAAGTTTTAATTATTGAAAGTTAAATTAATTATTGATAGGGAGCATTGAATTTTAATTATTTGTTGACCAAAAATGTTGACTTTGCAAAACAATTTAGGACGGATGGAGTGTTTATTACTGTACTACGTATTACTTAATTATTATTGCTGTTGTTCTTGACATTATTCATACTTTACTATTATTCATACTAATTAATGTTCTTAACATTAATTAGAATTATTTGTTGCTTTGGGATGATGGTCGAATAGGTGAAGGATCATGGGAATGTTAACAAATTTCTTGGATATGGAATTTACTTTCTTGTGCCATCTTTTGTGATTATCGCATCCTTTGAAGGCTGGGTTTGGTTTCAAAACAGAGAAAACACAGATGATGGAGGTGAAAAATGGTTGCGCCAGATTACAGCATATCTATCGCTGTTAACAATGTAACGTTAGCTTTTCTTCTCGAATAAATTATACTCGCATTTAACTTCGATACATAGCATAACTATTACGGAGTATATTAATACTCCGTAAATTTAACATATACGTAGTATATCACATAGAACAAATAAATACTATAATAAGTTAAAAAGCTTTTGAAAAACACTTAGAATATATATGGCAGCCAGCAAGTAGTTCATGTCCTTTTAATTAGTTTGACCAATTCAGAAATTAAAGAAACTTAACTTAACACATAATAAGTTTAAGTGATTATTACCTTTAGAATCACAGTTAATTCGTACCTGATGACCTACTTGATTCGGTATGGTAAAACAATAAATTTAATACTTTCTTTGTCTCAAAATAATTTGTGAAATCAATTTTTCTTGCTCAATACAACTTCAATTAATTTGAATAATTAGCATATCAATTTATGTATTTATAAAACACTCATTGTAATTTTTGAATATATAGATTATAATTATCAAAATTGATTCAAGCATCACAAGGACGATTTAACTTCGTTGTCGGTCAATTTTTTTGTTGTTGAAAATTACAAGCGTAATATTAAGAATCAAAAGAATCATTCAACAAGAGTTCATCACAAATACATAAAGGTGGAAGATCAAGCCAAGAACAACCAGACTCCTGAATAGCTTGCTTAGCTACTGCATCGCAACCCTATTCGTTGGTCGTCGCACATAGTGGACAAAAATATTGGCAATCCTTGCCATCATGCGTTAGTATCATCTGCAAAGGTGGCGTCATAGGAAAGACCAATCGGATCCCGAACCCCACAAACTGTCGTCTGCACATCCGACTCAATGATAAGATTTGACCATCCTTCTTCCCGGACCCATTGCACTGCTTCCTTCTGATCTAGTAGCTACTTCCTCCGTCCCTTAAAACTTTGTCATCTTTCCTTTTTGAGACGTCCCAAAAAACTTTGTCACTTTCCTTTTTGGTCAATTATTTGTGATTTCTGTTATTTCTCTCTTCTCTGCACAAACCTCAACCACACAGTTTTTACTTTATTATTCTTCGTGCCAGTCAACTACCATACCCACCCCTCTCGTAGGGTTGTTCAAATCAAGTGCCTTGTCATCATTAATTTTAATATAAACCCTTGGTGGGCAGCTCCACCTCATCGGCTCCTCTTCCCATTATACACTTCTTTTGATCCTTGTAGCATTGCCATGCTTACAATCTCCACACCCCGCCATTCAGTACGTTCTTTCCAATTCTTTTTAAAAGATATATCAATCTATTATTCTTTTATGTTTTTTTAATATGATAACAATATTGCATATTTAAAATTAAAAAAACAATCGCTAAAAATAAATGTTTAGAGAAAATATTTTTTTTCCTCAAAGTTTTTATATGCAATATTAATATCATTAGAGAGATAATAAAAATACATTTAATTTTTTTTATGTTTGTTTATAAAAATTGGACCACAAATACGGAGTATAAAAATTATACTACATCCATCCCATTTTATGTGTCCGTTAAGACCTGGTTTCCATTTTAAGAGGTTAACCTTATAAGAAGAGTAACCCAAGATCTTAATATAGTATTTAATTGTTTTAGAGATATCTGGTGCGAGACATCAACACCCCTCCTCACGATGAGAAACTTCGTCTGGATCGTGTCGTCATTCATTTTTCATCGGTTAGTTTGTCATTGCCATTTTTTATAATTGTGTTGTCATTTTTCATAGGGGCCACACCATGGTTATGAATCGATTTATCTCTGATACCATGTTAAGACCTGATCGAGTTTCATCCCAAAATAGCCACCTAATAGGAGGAGTAGTCCAAGATCTTAATATAGTGTTCAATTGTTTTTAGATATATTTGGTGTGGGACAACAATTGTGTCTTACTTTGATTTGACACAATGATTAATAAAGTAGTTCAAAAATTAAAGGGAAATTCCTGAAATAGGAGTAAAAAAGTTTTAAAATTTCAAAATAGAACTGTAATGTTTTTATTGCCAAAATATGAGTAATTACTGCCATGTTTGAAAAATACCACCATGTTTAAATTCTGGGACCGCCAAAATATGGCATCAATTAGTCCTATTTTGATAATAAAAATATGATAGTCATATTTCGGAATATATAAATGTTGTTAGTCCTATTAAGGTTAATTTCCCAAAATTAAAAGTTGTGCTTGTGATTTGATTATAATAGTGTTGTAGAACACATACTATCTACGTTCTCTTTTAATTGCAACATTAGACTTTTTGCACTATTCACATATTCTACTTTGATTATATTTTATTGATTAATGTATAATAAATTAAATTTTAAAACATTGGTCAAACTTGTGTGTTGACAAATGTGAAAAGTGGACCGTTGCAATTAAAAAGAACGAATGAAGTATTTTTATTTTCAAAAACGGAAATATGAGATTTATTTTTGGACAATCCAAAGAGAAAAGTAGGAGATGTAAATTGGGATGGAGGGAATAACAATTTGAAGAAAAAAGATTAGATTGCCAAATGGCAAGTAGGGGAGTGAGGGGGTGATTAGAGCATCTCCAATGGGGATGTTTATTCTCTTACACACTCTTACAATCGGGTCCCATTTTTTATCTCACAAATTTTATGTGTAGGACCTACATATCTCCATATTTATTTTCATTTTCTTTTTTTTTATATCACTTGTAACCCACTTTTCATCCACTTTTGCTTCTCGATTCCCGTGTAATGTCTATTTGTGGACATTGTCATAGACATTGTCTACAATTTACTCCTATCTTTCTCTTCCTTTTCATTTTTCCCTACACACCACTTTTTCCATATTAAATTAAAATAAGGGATATTTTGACTTTGCACCCCGTTTTTTGGGTGATATTGGACTTTGCACCCCATTTTCAAAACTTTTAGACTTTGCACCCTATTTCCCCTAAATTGTCTTTGCCTTTGCACCCCATTTAAGAATTTTTCTTCACAAAATGTTGTAGATAAGGTGAAAAGTCTAAAAGTTTTGAAAATGGGGTGCAAAGTCCAATATCACCCAAAAAGTGGGGTGCAAACTCAAAATTCCCCTTAAAATAATCATCCTATCTCTATCTCTCCTATGACACGTAGGATAGACTTTACTCCAATCCATGAATTTGGGCTACGGCCGCCGCACTTATCTATAACGATTTATACACTGACTATTTCTCTTTTTCATGATATATGTATGTGCAGGTGCGCATTTTTTTCAGCATTCTTTTGTTTTGTGTACGTATTAATTTTCGGGTCCAAAGATATGTCGGATAATAAAAAGACTACCTTGCTGATCATGGGAAGTTGCAGTTGCATAGTTCAAGCAATTTTATCCGCACTTCACTACTTTCTTAGAGTAGTATGATGCACGGAATATTCAATTTATCAGTTTGTAACATTGTTGTTTGAATAATGAAATATAGATGACGGGTTTCTGTAAAAAGAGTTAAACAAATTAAAGAATCAAATACAACTAACTATATGTAATACTTTGAAGAAGTTTGAACTTTGAAGAAGTATTTATGATAATTTGGTTTGGTATATATTTTGTTTGCTTTTGACACAATATTTATATAAATAGAATTTGGATAAAATGAGAATATATATATATTATAATTATAATTATGATTATAATTATAATTAAATATTTTTAGAATTATGACTATAATTATAAATTATATTTAAATTATATTTATAATTACAATTATAATTATAATAATTATAATTATAATTAAATAAATATTCAGATCAGATCAGAAAGATTCAGATCAGATCAGAAAGATTCAGATCAGATCAGATCAGATCTTAATAAATTCAGATCAGAAACATTCAGACCAGACGAAGAGAACAACTTGTGAATGTGCACTTTATTTAGGGGGTGTTTGGAACTGATTCTGCTTCTGCTTCTTTTTTAAAGGCAGAAGCAGAATCAGAATCAGTTTTCAGAAGTTGGTACTTCCCGCTTCTAAAAAACTGATTCTGAGAGTAAATTAGAGCTCCAGAAGTGCTTCTGGAATTTCACCCAAACACTCCAGCTTCTGTTTCTGCTCCCTGAAGCAGTAGAATCAGTTTTGAGAATCAGATCCAAACACCCCTTCGTTGTACTTATCGTTCAAATTTTAGTTAATCTACTTGCTTTCAACCGTAGTGTTTTCCCTCTTATGGTTCGTTATATAATTTTAGGCTGAAAAATTACAATTATGGTTTATCGAACAAGTGCAAAATTGTTTGTCATACAATTTAGGTTGTAAATTTTAAAATCAATTCGCTAGCATTAAAATGTGAAATTTTCAAACAAATGAAAAGTTGACAATTTCAATTTGAGCTTCCAAAAATTTTAAAGATTCTTTTCATTTTCATCTCAATCTTCAAACCGATCGAGAATAAGTTATTTCTTTCAAAAGATGTTTTCATCTGTCATACATTTATTACACCTATTTCTGAAGGCACATTAGTAAAAACTATTGATTATCTAATGAGGATTATGATCTGCGTGTAATTTCCGTTTGTATTTGTACGTTTTTAATTAGTTTTGTGATTCGCTAGTTTGGAAATTACACACTTTTGGTGTAATGCTTTGTTTTATTTAAATTGGTGTAAATTGTTTAGATTAAGATTTTTCTGAGCATAGGACAGGTTGAATGCATTCAAAGGATCAAGAAATGGATCCCAAAGACCAAAAGATGTGCAAGGGAACAAGATCAAAAATTGATTTGGAAAAAAGTCCATATACCCGGTCGGGTATATGCAATACCCGATCGGGTATTGGTCTGATTTCATTGTCAAAATCAAATCCGGGAAACAAAGGATCGTGGGAGCAAAATATTTGAAGATCCGGTCTCATACCCGTTGTGTTGAGGTTACCAATCTCAATTTATTTCATCAAGGAGTTTAAGAGATTAAATGCTACTATATAATCGGTATACAGCGTTGTTCTATATTTGATTAAATAGTAAGGGTTGTTAATGAACAGTCGTTGTTAATAACTACCCTCGATGAATTGGGGATACTCCTCGATTAAGTGTTTCAGAGGGGATAAGTTATAGATATAACAATGATCGACTAAAATATATCAACAAGTGAAAAGTAGCAAGATCAAGTCCTTTTTATTCTTGAATTAAATCTCATATTAGTCGTTCATCTTCGTGTTTAATTAAATTAAATCACTCAATCCCAAAAGCCCCCTTTATTTACTAGTTTTATTAATAAAAAAAAAATTGTTCCTTTTACTATGGATACAAACTCTACTTCACCTATACTATGTATAAGTGTTAGTATCGATTTATTTTGATGCGCCGTGACAAAGTGCTCGTCAAATTTGGCGCCGTTGCATCCACATGCATGCACCGGATCCTACTTGAAGATGAAACCAAAGCGGTGAGGCAACCGCAACGAAGATTGAATCCACCCATGATGGAGGTGGTGAAACAAGAGGTGATAAAATTACTTCAAATGGGAATCATCTTTCCCATTTCCGATAGCAAATGGGTGAGTCCAACCCAAGTGGTGCCAAAGAAGACCGGAGTGACAGTCATTGAGAACAAAGATGGCGAGCTGGTGCCCACCCGTGTTCAAAACGGGTGGCGAGTGTGCATTGACTACCGAAGGCTCAATTTGGTAACTAGAAAAGATTTCTTTCCATTTCCCTTCATTGATCAAATGCTAGAGAGGCTAGCCAGGCTCAAGTTCTATTGTTTTCTCGATGGTTACTCTGTGTATTTCCAAATACCAATAGCCCCGGAGGACCAAGAGAAAACGACCTTCACATTTCCATTTGGCACTTTTGCCTACCGCCGAATGCCCTATGGTTATGCAACGCACCAGGCACCTTTCAAAGGTGTATGATGAGCATCTTTTCCGAATCCATGGAGGTCTTTATGGATGATTTCACAATCCATGGAGACTCTTTTGACACTCGCCTCTATCATCTCACTCTTGTGCTCAAAAGTTGTATTGAATCCAACCTTGTTCTAAATTCTGAAAAATGCCACTTTATGGTGGAACAAGGGATTGTTCTTGGGCATGTGATCTCATCAAAGGGGATTGAAGTGGACAAAGCTAAAATTGATGTGATTCAAACGCTCCCGTACCCCACAAATGTATAGGACATCCGCTCTTTCCTCAGTCACGTCGGATTCTATAGAACGTTCATCAAAGACTTCTCCAAAATTGCATCTCCCCTATGCAAACTTTTGCAAAAGGAGGTGGAATTTGATCTCAATGATGAATGCAAGGAAGCTTTTGACACTTTGAAAGCAAGGTTGGTGACCGCCCCAATTATACAAGCTCCCGATTGGTCTCTTCCTTTTAAGATCATGTGTGATGCAAGTGACTATGCGGTAGGGGCTATTCTAGGCCAAAAGATCAGGAGGACTGCTCATGTTATTTACTACGCCTCCTCAACTCTCAATGAAGCTCATAAGAACTACTCCACCACCGAGAAGGAAATGCTAGTGGTAGTCTTTGCTTTGGAGAAATTTCGTTCTTACCCTTTTGGAACGAAAGTCATTGTTTACACCGACCATGCCGCCCTCTGATTCCTTATGACGAAGAAAGAAGCCAAACAAAGGCTCATTCGATGGGTCTTTCTATTGAGTGAGTTCGACGTGGAGATAAAAGATAAGAAAGGAGCGGAGAACTTGGTGGCCAATCATTTAAGCCGTCTCATTCCTCACAAAGACATTGAAGACCTCCACACAAATATCATAAAAGGCGAATTCCAGGATGAAACTCTCGTCTCCATCAAAGTCATACAACCATGGTACACAAGCATTGTAAATTTTCTTGTTTCCGGCAAATTTCCTCCAAAACTCTCAAAATCTCAAAAAGAAAAAATAAAAATGGATTCAAGACTCTATGTGTGGGATGACCCTATTTGTGGAAACATTGTAAGGATCAAATAATCCGAAGATGCATCCCCGAATCTGAGATAGCTCACATAATAGAGTTTTGCCATTCTTATGCTTGTGGAGGACATTGTGGCCCGAAACGGACGACAATGAAGATACTTGAGAGTGGTTTTTGGTGGCCGAGTCTTTTCCGTGATGCAAATGATTTTTGTCGAGCTTGTGACAATCGCCAAAGAGCGGGGAATATTTCAAGGAGGAACGAGATGCTCCAACACCCCATGCTTTTGTGTGAAATTTTCGATGCATAAGGTATTGACTTCATGGGACCTTTTCCAAACTCTCAAGGAAACATCTAGGCCTGGGACCGGTTCGGTTCCTAGGTGAAATATGTGGAACCGTTTGAAAATGTGAAATTTTACTAACGGTTCGGTTCTTATAAATTATTTTGTAGAACCGATAAGGAACCGAACCGTTCTTAACGGTTCGGTTCTTGTCATTTAACGGTTTCTAGTATTTAAAAAAAATCTTACAAATCACGGTTAAATTTGTGTCAAAAATACATTCAACGCTTGAAATTACAATACAAATATGTTGAATTTCATTTCAAACCTCAAAAGTTGAGTTTAAAAGATAAATACACAACAAACTGCAAATTTTAGAAAACAAAAACAAAACAAGATATTCGGTAAAGAAGCCCAATAAAACCAGTTAAATGAAAAATAATTTCAAATAGTTAAATAACTAAACTAAAATAGTGAATGTAATATGAAAATAAATAAGTAAATATACATTAAAATACATATACTAATAAGAAATATATATAATTTTAATTATTATATATAACGGTTCTTTAACGGTTCCACGTACATATTTTTTACAGGAACCGAGAACCGAACCGTTAATAAAAAGTAGGAACCGAACCATTAACAAATAACTAATAAATTTTGGAACCGAACCGAACCGGGTCATAACGGTTCGGTCCGGATCGGTTCTCCGGTTCTTGGTTCCAAAGTCCCAGCCCTAGAAACATCTATATCCTTCTTGCGGTGGATTACGTCTCGAAATGGGTAGAGGCAAAAGCCACCAAAACTGAAGATGCCAAGGTGGTGGCTAGCTTTCTCGAATCACACATATTTTCAAGGTTCGACATTCCCCGAATTTTAATAAGCGATCGAGGAACACATTTTTGTAATAAATTGTGGGATCCCTCCTATAGAAATATGGTGTGACTCATAAAATCTCCACAGCATACCACCCTCAAACGAACGGCCAAGTGGAGGCCTCAAATAGGGAATTAAAATCTATACTCCAGAAAACAGTGAACCCGAACCGCAAGGACTGGAGTATACGCATTGATGATGCATTATGGGCATACCGAACTGCCTACAAAACTCCAATCGGTATGTCCCCTTATAGACTTGTGTTTGGCAAAGCGTGTTATCTTCCAGTAGATCTAGAACACAAGTCATATTAGGCGGTGTCATCATTTTTCATAAGGGCCCCACACCACAAATTGATTTGGCTATGATACCATGTTAAGATCCGAGTTGCATCCTAAAAGGTCAACCTGATAGGAGGAGTAGCTCAAATCTTAATACAGTGT